CAGCAAGACAATGACCCAGATGACCCAGATGGGGTCCGTATCCGGGCATTACTGTGGTATTTTTCATTGGAGGCTGTGTTCGACGGTAGTAAGTTCCAAGCCCGACGCACCAATCCTATTTACCCTATAGGGAGAAGCTCGCCGCTCACGTGAGCCAGCAGCTTTGCGGGTGCATCGCTCTGTTTCCAGCGGTCTCCACGAGGAGATGTGAGTCGACTTGAGACGTAATATGCTAAGACCGAGCTTGGTTCACCAAGTTGAACCGATCAGCAGCTTTACCTGGCTACTTACGCCTCCTTAAGCCCCCAATACTGAAATATCCTATACCCTACTGGTTACCCTATCTTTAAATATAGAAGAAATGACAAACAAATTTAGCACGTCGATTTGGAATCCTAATATTTATTTATTTATTGAGATTTCGTTTGAGCTTAAACACCTTTGAACGTTTCTTTATTATGTCAGCGTGTTAATAAATATGTTATGTGATTATTATCAGTATTTTATGGTCGGAAAAATCGACTTGCAACTTCAATTAGTGTGTTTGTTTGAAACGTAATTTTAATACCTTTAATATTCATATATATCTTATAAAAACTATGTTTATATTATTATTTACGTAGTTCCTCCTCGTATATCACCTTTTGCTTTTGAGGAAGAAATAACTGAAGGTATGAGGACACAGATTATGTGCTCGAGTAGTCAAGGGGACCAACCTTTTAACATCACATGGCTAAGAAATGATGTGCCCATCATTAGTAATACAGTAGCTGTCAAGAAAGATGAGAACGTAATTGAGTCTAAAACTCATGCCACAGAAAAAAGGAATACATTTATTTCTTCGGATCCGTCATTAACCATAAATCAATATGCACAATTTTCCAGCATATTATCGATACATAACGTTTCTTCACGACACAACGGTAACTACACTTGTAGTGTAGCCAACCATGCTGGTGCTGTACAATTTACTGCTGTTCTCTCGGTATCCGGTAAATCAAGCGTAACTATTTCGTTCTAGTAAGATGCTTAAAGCATAATATAAATATATTAAATTAAAGAAATGTTTAATCTGCACCAAACACACACAAAGACCACAGTAGAAATTCACCTAATATGTACATGCATATAAATAATAAGACACTAGGAATTATCTTGTCTGAATGTATTGAAATAATCCAGAAAAAATCACACCTCTGGTGCCTGTTCATCGCTATTGTTGTAATGTTCAAAAAATATGATTGGTCAGAAGAAGACTATATCTACAGTTTTTAAGTACTTGCGAAAATAGTAGTCAGATAACCGACAATGAAGTAATAAAATAAATTGTTTCCAGTTACCATAATGATTGTGAATTACCAAAATTTGTGAGTGTACTTTGAAAGATACAAAAGTTTGGTTTTAAGATGAGTATATCTCATGCCCTCGCTTACATTCATATGTAGATTGCAAATTCAAATACTTAAAAAAAGTTGTTTCCGTTTTTTCCACTCCATTGTTCAGCGAGTATATCAAAATTTATATTGAAAACAGAAATATATAGTCTATCATTTGATTTTGATTCGTTTCCATACAATGGCTATATTGGAATTTTGATTGTTTAATTTTTTGTTTAAAATTCTAAGTATGGGCATGAAATTTTCTCAACCAGAGCTACAACATAATCTTTATCTAGTGCAAAGTACAAAATCACTATCGCACAGTGTAAATATTATAAAGTTTTATGGATACATGTTATTATATTTATTTTTGAGCTTCATTAATTATGTCAATTAAGGGAAACATAATGATATCCCGATAGAGTTTGAGTGTATGAGTGGGACTTTTTGTATTGGCAGCAATTGAAAATATGAACATACATACGTATATTTATACATGTATGTATGTACATTAGGCTGGGTGATATCTCTAGTATGTACGTAAAATAAAACTCAAAGTGGTATAATGAAAATATTGTAGGGAGCTATGAAAAGATTGATACATACAATTTCTAAAAGGTTGATTAAGCCAATATGAACGCATTCAGCCAAATTTTAGGTAAAAAAATGTATCTATTATTATTTTTTAAATTTTTTGTATAATTTGAAATTTTTTATTTGTTTGTCGTTACAAATAAAAACATTGCAACGGCTCTGGTGCGAGTTATGAGTTAAATTAGTTATCAATTATTTCAAGGCAGAAAATCATTTCTCTACACTGTCTTAAGTTGCAGGAAGAGGGTGCATAACCCTGCCAGCTGATAAAAAATTGGTGTTCAAACAGTATCACACATTTAAGAAAAACGGTTTTAGCATTAGTTAGATGGTATCAATCATATCTTAGCTGCCTATTTTTGTATGTATTTATTGGAAAGAAACAAAAAATCATCATTATTATGGATATTATGTGAATATGCATAGATTATCCTTAGAATCGCCTGTTGGTATTATTATTTCAGATGTTCGGCAATTTTAAGAGGATGATTTTTTCGGTTACATATAATACATATTTAACAACAACATAACATTTATTAAAATATTTAATATGGGTTAAATCGTCGGTAAACACCGCATAGCTGAAGTCGTATGCATATTAATTTGAAATACATAGGTAAAGAGCACTCCGCACTAAGCACTCCGCACACGCATATCCAAACACTCAAACGGACTCGAAAGGTAAAATGTAATAACACTAAGTAATACTGCATTCTAATACATGCATATGTATTTATACTGCACATGTTTTCCACTTGGTATTTTTTATTGGTTTGCTTATACAATTTTCAAAGTGAGATTTTCAAATCAAACTCTAAACTAACTGCAAATAGTTTAAAAGTACATACATGCTGTCTTACCAGCCGACGATTTAATTTGCAACTAAATCCATTTAAAGGTATTATAGTGAAGGTGTCTTTTGACCTTTCATCTTGTTATACATATATATATGCAATCCTATCTATCTAACCATATTAATCCTTTATTGCTACATCAAGGCTGTAGTAGTTTTTGGTATTTTCAATTAATCTCTAACGGTACGTATTGATGCCTGGACGCATTTTGAAACTCAGCTTCGTTATAACGCGTAAAGATGATGTGGAAAAAGAGAAAAAAAAAAAAACGAAACAATACTGCATAAGGTTATTTAAGATAGAAGTTTTTAATAACTCTCATCAAGAAAAGGTGTTTATTAGGTATCCAAATGTGTGTATTTGGAGCATAATCATAGTGGAGTTTTAAAGCGATGAAGTGAATATGCTTGAAGAACTTTTGGCATCTAGATATTAACCATTTTTCCGCCTTCCATTCCCGTCCTTTTTAACGGCGCCTACGTAGGTTCGAAAACGCATTTTTGTATATTGCTACCTGAAATGTTATAGATCACCATCACTATACTACGCTGATCGAGCTACCCTGAAGTGAAAGTTTAAAATTAGTCGCTACAAATAAAATTTTATTTTTCAAATGTGTAAAAAACTAACTGCAAAATTTGTTATACATATTTTACGCTTTTACAACCACTTCCATATCCACTTGTCGATTTTTCTTCTACTGGGTTTAAATGGTTTAAGAGAGGCAGGTAGTTCCGTGTTAACGGGCATGACAAGCATACTTCTAGAGATAACTACACTACTCGACAAAATCGAACTTTCCTTAAGGAAACAAACCGCCCTTTTCTGATAGATTTGGGGCTTTTGTTTAATGAACTATGGTTTTTATTTACGGTAGAAATTTTGTTTAAAGAATATAAAAAAATGGTAAAAAGCTTAAGGATCTTAAGGATTTTGTTCTAATTAACTTTGCCGTTCTTAAACGCTAATAAATGCATCTATTAAGCTTTCAAATGCAACTCAGGAAAAGACGAAAAAAATGATATCCTGTGTCCTTATATTGTAAAGGTGTGTAAAGATGCATTATATAGGCTTCGCTAAAATCACATTTTACCGTTTTAAATGTTGCTGGCCCAACGTTTTGGGCACTTTCTTACTTTACACTTACTTACACTTTCTTTTACTCAGAATCTGCAAAGCAGATATCAACAAAAAACAAGAAACTTGTACCACCTTTCACAGGATTTTTGATTGGTGGTGATAGAATAGATATACCTGAAGTTAAAACGAATCAAAGTTGATGTTGTCTACAGTTTCTTTAGTTTCTTTATTTTTTTCAGAATGGTAAAGTAAAGTTTTTTAAAACTAGATGTAAGATACTTAAGCTATGTGAGAAAAAAGCGCTACTTCTGAAAAAAGCATACAAAAATGTTCTGCCGTAGAAAAAAAAATCTTACCAAACAAATACAAAGCCTTAAATCTTTCAGAAAAAGTCGGTTTGGTTTCTTGGGTAGCAATCGTGTCGGGTATTGTTATTGATAAAATTCGAAGTAATATAAACTCTTTCTGGACCGACTCGATTCGATCTTGATTGCCTGCCATTGGAGCTCCATGCAAATTAGCTAACTCACTTTAATTTGTACTGTGATTTTATATAACCGGCATTCATCGAGTATATAAAATCATCAAATAAAATGCAAGTTAGAGTACATTTAAAATGCATTTTCGTTTTCGACCTCACAACGCACGACTCGGCCTAATTATATATTGTTCATTTTAAATCTATATAAGATAATATGAGTTCTATCCCAAAACGGTAAAAAAGTATATAGTACATACATTTTAAAATATGTAGCTTACGTCGAGTTATTATTTAAGGCAGTCAGCAAATATTATGTGCATACATTTTGTTTTATTATTTATATTCTTATATTGCAATCGTAAAATTTTATTTTAATTTGACAATAGTATAGAAATAACCAGTAGTAGTCTGATTATTCAAGTATATTGATCTATCTATATTACTTGAAATTCAAATTGTATGGTAAGTTTAATAGTTTTTTATATCTAGAGTTTGTGCATGAATTTGGAACATATGTATTTATGTATAATTTAATTACTATGGCAAATGTGCAGGACAATATACATATTCAAATTATTCTATACGATTGCTAATAAAGATATTTTTATTTAGTACCGCCAAGATGGGTCCTAAAACCTGCTGACCAAGATGCAATACTGGGTAATTTAGTCATAATGTCATGTAATGCTGATGGGTTTCCTGAGCCTACCCTTCAATGGAAGCAATCTATCGGTATGAGAGTTGTGGTTTTTATAGGACATTATAAGCACATAAGTATTATTAAATATAGGAGACTCCGGGGAATATCGAGAATTGAATTATGGAATTAGCAATGGAAACTCACACTCTGTTATAGAGACCTACGCCAATGGTTCACTAATTATATCCAAGGTCGGACGAGAGCACGAGGGAAACTATTTATGTCAGGCAAACAATGGAATTGGAGTAGGACTGAGTACACTAATAAAATTGACGGTTCATGGTAGGATATGAAACATTTTTAAATTAATATATTGTATTACTTAATTGTATAACTGATTTTCTATATAGTGGGTCCTTCGGTAACTGTTTCAAAAAAAATGTTTACCATACGACGCGGTGATCGCGTAACAATAGCCTGTGAAGCAACTGGAGATCGGCCGTTGGAAATGTCCTGGAGAGCCAAAGCTAATAAAATTGATCCTTCCTATGATATACGATATCACATAAAAAATTCCCCTTTAGCTTATGGAGTTTTATCTGAACTAACAATATTACAGACGGCTCTTACTGATAGAGGAGAATATTCATGCATTGCCAACAACGCCTACGGCCATGATAGATCTGTCGTACATTTGCAGGTTCAAGAACCACCAACTTTTCCTGTTAACTTACACGTTATGGATTTGGGAAGCCGTTCTGTAACAATGGCATGGTCGCCAAATGATCAGGATTCAGTAATTTTAGGTGGTGGTGGAGGAAACAACCGAGACTCTCAACCAATATCAAATTACATATTACAATATAAGAAGTCAGGAGGTATGTACATATCTTATTGTCTAAATTTACTTATACATATTCCATTCCACACACAAAAGAAGGGTCGGAAGAGGGGTTTTTTTTTCCGAGTACACACTTAAAATCCAGATATGTATTATGCGATTCAGCGACAAAATATAACGAAAGTATTTACATATGTAGGTGTATAGCGAAAACGAGAGTTAGAGTTATGTACTTGTAAAGATGCTTTAGAGTTCACGACAAGTCAGTTGGCTTATGTCGTTACAAGACGGGGTCGATTGAAGACGGAGGGGTCAAAAAGAAAAGGGCGGACAGTGCCCATGCTCTTATGCTATCGATGTTTGAATAGGACACTCCATTAAGTCAGTTATCTCACCCACTACTCACAAACCTCTTTAGGACGTTAGAGACTTCATTTGTTTTATACAGGGACCGTAAGACTTATAACACTACTCGACAAAATCGAACTTTTTTTTCCTCAAGGATCCAAACCGACTTTTTCTGATAGATATGGGGATTTAAATTTTTTTAAAGAATTATGGTTTTTTTTCTATGGCAGAACTTTTTTTTGAAGAATTTTTGAAAACAGGTATTTTTTTTAAAGCTTTTTTCAGAGGTAGCGCTTGTTTTTTTCACATAGCTCTAGTATCTTACGTCTGGTTGTAAAGAACTTTGCTATTTTGAAAAGATAATTAAAACCGCTAGAAGTTAAGCCTAAACACTTTGTGATTTCAGCTTACCGTCTGGGAAATAAAAAGCATTGAAATGCAAAAATGATGATTTTTGTGCGGTATTTGTTACGAAATTTTGTTTTACTAGAGCTATGTGAAAAAAACAAGCGCTACCTCTGAAAAAAGCTTAAAAAAAAAATACCAGTTTTCAAAACTTCTTCAAAAAAAAGTTCTGCCATAGAAAAAAAAAAAAATATCATCAAACCATTTCTAAGCCCCAAATCTTTAAGAAAAAGTTCGTTTTGTTCCTTGAGGAAAAATCGTGTTGACTAGTGTAATTTGTATGATAAAAATTATGAAATAAGAATTAATTTTGGATTTTTGTTATAAAAATCAGGTATATCAAAACCATGATTGCATATCCAATATTGCAGCGTGCATTATCGTCTGCAAGCTGCACAGCACCCACAAATAAGACATTTCTACTATTTTTAAATGATAAAGAGAAGGAACGCGTTCTGGGGACGCGACTCTACTTATACCCGTACTCAGTCAGCATATACAGTTTTGAGCATATGATTTTTTAGAATTGTAGAATTTACATTTTACATTTTGTTGCTACATCTGTTATCTTCATCTACAATGTATATTTTACATCTAACATGTAGATTATAGATGTACCATTTATATTCTACATCTCCTCCGCTAGGGGTTGCTCGCGCACCGAACGAGGCAGAGTGTCCGAGCGGGAAAGAGAATCAGTAGCGTCAACAGCGCTGGAGAAGGAGGGGAAACAAACAGAAAATGAATTTCTTCATTTTGGCTATAATTATGATCCGATCTGATTCAGATTCGGCAATCTGGTAGATATGGGCATTCTCTACGATCCTGCGTTTTTAGTTTTATTGTATCTTTCAAATTGTGCCGGCCACAGATTTTCGTTCTTTGTGGGGGCGGAATGGGGCGGGGCGAAATTTTGAAATACACTTGTAGCAGTGTGATATCACATGATATCAACCAAATTTGGTTTCTCTAGCTCCAATAGTCTCTGAGATCTAGGCGGTCATATTTATACTTTATGGGGTCGGAAACGTTTCCTTCTCTGCGTTTCACACATCCACTTTTACCACAAATACAATATACCCCTTAACTCATTTTTGAGTACGGGTATAAAAATGAGTACAGGGTTAATATAAAATAGTATCCATATAATCTGTATTCCTTCGACGTCCTTAATAAGATTTAATTTTTCTTCATTATTGCACTTTTGTAGCTGCCTTGCACTTGTGCCCTTCCATTTTTTATGTGTGTGTGTGTATATGTGTGTCTTTTGGACAACGAAAAATAGAATAGTTCTATATATTTCGCTCGAGATGAGAAGATACCATCGGATTCTCTTTTTTCCGAACTGAGTACTATTCTGCGAAACTTCTTCTAACTAATTCTAGTTCGAAGAAGAAGTTTACCTTGATATTATTTCATCTATTCCATTTTTTAAGAATTTGTAACTATGCAACTACTTTGCAACACCATTTTTCTCAACGAACCAAACCAACTTTTTCTGGTAGATTTGGAGTTACAATTTTTTTTTAATAAATTCTCTTTCTTTCTTATTCTGCATATTACTTTGCTCCCATTATTTAGATGTTTGGCATGAACATAATAACCAAAAGCTTATACCTGGGGACAGAACTACTGCACAATTAGGGTCACTGAAGCCAGCACAGTCATATCACATTCGTCTGTATGCAGAAAATCATTTAGGTACAAGTGCTCCAAGTGATGTTTTGTTCTTTCAAACTGATTCGGAAGTACCATCTGCACCTCCTCAAGATGTAACTGCTGAACCTTTGGGATCGCAACAGGTAAATTTAAGCAACAAAAGCTTAAGTGCACACTTTATATTTATAGTAAGTCAATTTAATATTCAAAATTATCTAACCAGAGAAAATGTCATTATTTGTCAATTCTCAGGATCTCTTCTGTATCTGGAATAGTTACCAATGAATTTTAAAATTTTCTTTCTTTTCTCTAAATTAATGTCAGCTACTGATAACATGGCGTGCTCCTGTGCGGGATACCTGGAATGGGGAATTGTTAGGTTATACCATTACATATCAAAAACATAACTCCCAAAATAGGTTAAAAAATAATACGAAGGTTAGTAGCTTAAGAACAGAAGGTCTAAATGACTTCCGCTTGATCGAATTGGAAAAGTATACGCAATATGCAATTACAATATCAGCCTATAATGTAAAAGGTGATGGGCCCCCAAGCGAAGTAGCACTAGGTCATACATTAGAAGACGCCCCCTCGGCAAGCCCCCAATCCGTGTCATGCATTGCCCTAACTGCACAAAATATTCAAATATCTTGGCAGTCCCCACCCAAGGAATTAAGTCATGGAATTATTCAAGGATACAAGATATTCTATGAACCAGTATATTTGGAAAACGAGTACAACGGACGAGAAACTAAGATTACATCAGCTCAGAGCACTGTACTTCATGGACTCCATCCGTTTACAAATTACAGCGTTAAGGTTTTGGCTTTTACTCGTGCTGGTGAAGGTAATTTAAGTCCTGCTGTATCGTGTATGACTGAGGAGGCAGTTCCTGATGCACCAGAACGTGTTAAATCGATTGTGAGTACTGAATCCTCAGTAATTATTAGCTGGCTTTCACCACGACGGCCCAATGGGTTGATAACTAAGTATAATGTATTCATAAGAGTACTTGAAAAGGGTCAGGAACTAAAAATTCTAAAGGAGGTTCTTCCAGCCCATAATCGGCATTTCGAAGCCAAAGACTTAAATATGAAAGAAGTATATGAGGCTTGGGTGACAGCTTCCACTAGAGTGGGCCAAGGTCCTAGCACACCAGTTATTAAACTAATACCCAATACGCTAGTACCAGCAGCTATAATTTCATTTAGTCAGACACTGAGTGTTAGTTGGAGAGCCGATATTAAATTGACATGCGTCTTTGTGGGTCACCCAAAAGCGACGGCAGAGTGGAAGGTTTTAAACACTCGTTTAAAAAAACATATTCGCATGGAAGTAAACAATGACAATACATTGAGTCTCCGGAACATTCAACGGCCTAACGAAGGAAATTACTCCTGTGTTGTGAGAAACCCGATTGGTTCTGACCATATAACATATCAGCTATTTGTACAAGGTAAATTTATCCAATCATCACTGTTAACATATTATGAAAAATCATTTTTTAATCGTTAATAGTGCCGCCTTCAGCTCCAATAGTCTCCGTAAATTCGGTTCACAAAAACTCAGTATCTGTACAATGGAGAGTAGATGATATTGGTGGTGCACCGTTGAAAGGCTTCACATTGACTTTCAGACGCGAGCCTGCCGAATGGGAGGAACTACAATTGGATCGCCGTATTAACTCTTACGTCTTAGAGAATCTTCAATGCGGAACAAGATATCAGTTCACAATCAATACATATAATAGAATAGGCACGAGTCCTTCTAGCGAAGTAGAATCAGTAAAAACAAAAGGTACCATTCCGGCAAAATTAGTTAGTTTACTTTAATGATTTCTTTAACAGGGGGTAAGCCCATTGCGCCGACGGCTCAGAGTTTTATTCGTTTGAATACAACATCGATTACATTGGATCTATCTTCGTGGCAAGACGGTGGGTGCCCCATACTGTATTTCAGTATAGAATTCAAGCTGCATGAATCTTCTACTGAATGGATAATAGTTTCTAACAAAATTGAAACAAATGTATGGTTATATGTAAAAACACATATTAATAATAAAATTAAATTGAACTTCCCATCATCAGGCAAGATACAATATAGGCGACTTAGACCCCGGAACTGCATATAACTTACGAGTGACAGCCCACAACAATGGCGGATCCACTCAAAAGGAGTTCTATTTTAAAACATTAGACTTCGTAGAGATAAAAAATGAATTGGGTCGTGCAGAGCTGCCCAACGTCCATACTGTATTCAGCGATGCTCATCTTTTAGCTGTAATTGTGTCCTCCATTTTTGGAACTATTCTCGCATTAATTGGAGCTTTAATATGCTTTAAAAATTGTTCGTAGTAAAATACGTCATAAACTTTTCATAAAAATAATTATTTCATACATTTTTTTAGATCCTCGCAACGGATTTGCGAGTAACGAGATCTCACTGAGGTCCCCTAGAGCCACAGAAGGCAAGGGTATTCAACCCCGAGAACACTTCTATGGTACGGTACGAAAATCTTGTCAACAATCTCCTCCTGAATCAGTTATCGGACTCGAACGCATACCAGAATACTCAGAAGATATATATCCTTACGCAACATTTCATTTACCAGAGCATGAAAACCAATCGGGGAATATCTCACTAAGTCATACAGGAAAATCAGTAAACTATGACTCTCGATTAGCGGATGAAAGTACCTTATGTAGCTCTGGGACAAAAGTAAAAAGGTCTGCTTCAACCAGTATGAGCGGCGCCAACGCAAACATAGAGGGTTGTGATGAATATAATCACTTAAATACTGAAAAGAGACAAAAGCGTCGATCAAATATAATAAAGTCTGAGTCAGAAGAATATGACAGTTTGAATAGCGACAGCGAGCTAAGTGGCGAGCGCGTCAAACAAGATTGTCGATTTTCTCATGAAGCATCAGGTGGTGAGGATAGTGGATTTACAGGTAATGTGCTTTTTATTCTAATCAATTAACTATACATTGAAAATCATATTTTATACCATTTCACAGTTTACAGTCGTCTAAATACTCTTAATCAAAACCAAAAACCAATACGATATAGGAATGGCCATCTGTTCCATTGACATTTGTTCTGTTTTAAAAAAGTATCAGTCGAGTACCAGTCTTTCTGAGAAGTAATATCATAGAAATTTGTTTTTCTAGGTGTAACAGCAGGCTTTCTCGGTTGGTTTCAAAAATTCTATTACCATGACTTAAATACACTGCTTATTGTGCTATGACCGAAGACTTAGCTAACTGACTAGTTGGAAAAATAGAGATAGCCGTGGGAAATTCCTGCAGTCAGAGTGAGAGATGCTTCAAGCTGGCTTTCCAGTTGACGCAGCAAAATTGGCCAAATCTAATGTCATAACACTATAAAACACAAGTCACTCACCATATCGAAATCGCGCACTATTGATCTAGCTATTTGATTAAAGACACCCATAAAAATACATAAAACAATTAGAATCTTACATACCTATAAAGCTTGTTCAATTAGTGATTAACCATCATCCAAATAATTTAACATTATAAATTTTAAGTTAATAAAATAATCATTTTAGTAAATCACTATCCAATCCGCTGACTGAAATTTCTTTTAACGTTTCCGCGCTCAATCCGCGAGCGTCCTAGTGAGATGCGGGCTTTCGAAGTTAGGACAGTAATGCCACTTTTTTAATGTTGAATTAGGTATTTAATATTAATCATATTAAAAGCATTCCGTTTTTTTTTTAATTAAATTAATCCTCAGATGCCCTCGGATACGTTTTCTCGAATCTTATAAATTGTGGATGCCACAGATTTTCGTCCTTTGTTGTTGCGGAAGGGTACGGGGCGAAATTTCGAAATACACTGTGATACATGTGATATAAGATGAGTCTGGAAACAAAACTTGGTTGCTCTAGATCTTGTAGTCTCTGAGAACTACACGACAAGAAAAGAAGGACGGACAGACAGACATAGCTATATTTACTCGCCTATTAATCATAATCAAGGGTATATGTGCAGTGTATTGTAAATATTATACATATACCCGTATACTTCATGGTGTCGGAAATAATTCCTTCTAGTTTATCCCAAAGCTGTGTTAATAGGAGTGGGATAAGGATAACGGACAACCAAATAAAGTAGACAACCAAAGGTACAGAAGAGGAGAAAAAAAGTGTAATACCCAACCAACACAGCCAAATTACACTAAGTCTAATCTAAAGGTTCGAATTGAATGCAGTAGGGGAGGGGCCCTGTTCTGGACCGGGTCCTAGTTGTTTTTGTATTTGTATAGTTGTATTTTTTATACCCGTACTCAAAAAAGAGTTAAGGGGTATATTGTATTTGTGGTAAAAGTGGATGTGTGCAAAGCAGAGAAAGAAACGTTTCCGACCCCATAAAGTATATATATTCTTGATCAGCATCAATAGCCGAGTCGATATAGCCATGTCTGTCTGTCCGTCTGTCCGTCTGTCTGTCTGTCCGTCTTGTTGAGCGCCTGGATCTCAGGGACTATAAGAGCTAGGGCCACCAAATTTGGTTTCCAGACTCATGTGATATCACACTGCTACAAGTGCATTTCAAAATTTCGCCCCGCCCCCTTCCGCCCCTGCAGAGGACGAAAATCTGTGGCAGGCACATTTTTAAAGATACGATAAAACTAAAAACGCAGTATCGTAGAGAATGCCCATATCTACCAGATTGCCGAATCTAAATCAGATCGGATCATAATTATAGCCAGAATGAAGAAATTAATTTTCAGTTGCTTCCCCTGTCCCCCCTCCAACAAACGACAACGCAACTCATTTTCCGTCTCGCTCGCACACTCTGCCGCGTTCAGTGCGCGAGCAACCCCTAGCGGAGGAGATGTAGAATCTAAATGGAACATGTACATTGTACAATCTACATGTTAGATGTAGAATATACATTGTAGATGTAGATATCAGATGTAGCAAAAAAATGTAAAATGTAAAATTTTTTTTTTTTCTAAAATTCTAAAAAATCATAAGATTAAAAATGTATATACTGATTGAGTACGGGTATAAGTAGAGTCGCGTCCCCAGAAGCGACTCGCACGTTCCTTCTCGTTTTTTTTTTTAATATGGTATTTTCTCTCCGAAATCTATAAGAAAAGGTCCTGTTGTCCACAGCAGAAAGAAGAAGTTCAATTTTGTCGAGCTGTGTAGTTAGCTAATACCTCTAGCTTTAAATTGGTACACATATGTTTGTGTAATATGCTATTGGTCGAAAGTTATGAGGCAAAAACCAAACTTGTCCACAGCCGGGCCCTCTCCTCTATAGTCAAAGCCAGATTGACTAGTTATCATAGAAGTAGACAGATGGACTATGGACATATCAATGTCAACTTAGCTTGTGATAATATTTAAGAATAGACCTAATTTATATTCATATATGTACATACATATATACATATATAAATTTTACAGGATCCAGATCCGTCACAGGATCCAAACCGACTTTTTCTGATAGATATAGGGCTTTAAAATTTTTAAAAGAATTATGGTTTTTTTTCTAGAAAAAAAAAAAAATATCATCAAACCATTTCTTAGCCCCAAATCTTTAAGAAAAAGTTAGTTTTGTTCCTTGAGGAAAAATCGTGTTGACTAGTGTTATTATTTAAGAACCATTTCTAAAATTATACTATTCATTCTTTTTTTAAAATATATTTTCAGGCGCTTGGACCCCCTGCCCAACGACTAATGCTTCTTTGACCCGCCATAAAAGTAAAAGCGACCACCACCAACGGAACTTAGCCAGCGATAGACTCACTCATATAAATTTGGGCAAAGCGCAGCCCAACATTCAAATATGCCCAGCAGTATACCCAACCGGAAATGACATAAAGATACCCCTTATAGTGACGACAGCGACCCCATTAACAGGCAATGCAACAAAAAAAATTGCATCTCCCAACAGCCGGGAGCATATATCGAAATTTTAGAGCAAAATAAGAATGTCTCAATTTATATAGTACAATTTTGTCTTGCATCACTTAAATTACACTACTCGACAAAACTGAACTTATTTTTTCCGCTTCGAACCAAACCAACTTTTTCTGATAGATTGGGAGCTTTAAATTTTTTTAAAGAATTATGTTTTTTTTTCTATACCAAAACTTTTCTTGAAGAATTTTTGAAGTTTAGTATTTTTTCATGCGTTTTTAAGAGGTAACGCTTTTTTCACATACCTTAATGTGAAATACATACATAAATACATACCGTATGTGAAAAAAGCGTTACCTCTTAAAAACGCATGAAAAAATACTAGATTTCCAAAAATCTTTAAAAAGAAGTTCTATCATAGAAAAAAAATGATCAGTAAGCATGTTTAAAGCCCAAAATCTATCATTAAAAGTTGGTCTGGTTCGAAGCGACGACTTTCATTCCATGGAAACCTACTCGCAAATCAGTTCTGATTCATAAATTTCTTTGTGAATTATGACAAAACGAAAATATCAAATTGAACGGTGTGCAATTTAAAGCATTTAGCTATTTTATTGGCAAACCCAAATAATTCAATACATACATATATCTAGGAACCAAGTATTATATTGTTGCATTTACTTAGATAATATAGCATATACATACGAGTATATATATTAAATGTATTAATCTTTAATATAAATATAATTTGATATCAATTGGACAGGCTGCACTGAACCAATATTTATGTAAAAAGTACACACATTCATTCGTATGAAAATTAAATAGTCGTAAAAGCCTTGAGATTAGAATTGACTCGAAACTTCTACGAGCGTTCTACGAGATATCCAGCCGATGATTAAAAAGTTTCCAGATTGTAGACGTTTTTTTCTGTCCATGCCAAAGCATTCGTGTATTTTGTTTAAATTATATAATTAAATATTGCATAGTTCTTCATATCAGAATTTTATTAAAGTAAACAATTTACATAACGGTACTAAGAACACTCTCTTACAAAGTTATCTGAAAAATAAAATATTTAGATTATACATATATAGAAAAGTTTGTCTCGACAAAAGTTTCTGCATTTCCGGTTTGATCTTATTTAGCAAAATTATAACTGCACATGTATGAACATTATATGACTGAAATGTCTTTAGAGACAACGTTTGATAATTATCATTACCATTATAATGATAATGGATAAAAAGTTTGCAGTCGCAAAATGTTTTCAGTTATGTTGGAATTTAATACAAGGCTGAATAAAAAACAAATACCATTATAAAAGCCGCGTATGAAGGATACGATTTATTCAATATGATCTGTTCAATGTTTATAGTGTTCTTTTTTTGTATCTTTAATGTATTACTCATTTGTATTATTTAACTTGTTTAAGACAATGCATAGGATAATGAACGGTCAATTTATATGTGAATTAAAAGTAAGCGTAGTTTAATATACAAATAGGAATTGTATTTATAAGAAATTATTTTATTTAAAAATAAACATTTAACTGGTTACACTGGCTATTAAACGTGCAGAAGAGGATTGGGAGAACTTGTACAAGATTGGCACCCGTCTCCTCTAGTGTGGTTGATCATACCAAGAGAGATTTAAGCACAACATATATATCAAACAAAAGGTATTGAAGAAAATATCGCAAGTATATATTTCTTTTTTATAGAATAGAAATCCCCTCTCATTTCAAATAAAATTGGAATTAAACTAATATAATATATATATATATATATAAAGAGAGAAAACAAAATATCATCAAACAATTTCTAAGTCTCAAATCTTTCAGAAAAAAATGGTGTGATTCCTTGAGGAAAAATCGTGTCGGGTAGTGTTATTGGATATTGGCGATTTTCGTATAAGAGGTGTACATATGTCAGCAATGAATCAAAATTTCCCGAGTCGCTGTTACGTAGAAACCCATGATCCCAGAAACGTCGCACAGTGGCTCGATTTCCGAAAACTCGCTGCAAAAGTCGGATATCGTGCTGTCGAATTTGGAAAAAAAAAGTGTAACACTTCAATTAGGAATGGATCAAGCTATTCAAAACCAAAATTTTTATATAATTATAATCGCTGTTCAAAGTTGGACCATTTTTCTGTTTTTGAAAAAATGAAAATACGAGCTTAAAAGGCAAAGATAAATGCATTTTGCTCAAATAGTACTTTGTGAGGAACTGGGTTCCGCACTGGCTTCAAGGTGTTAAAGCCCGGGCGGTTATCCGCGGATATCCGGATGCGGCGAGGTCGCCGCGCTCTCGCAGAGAGTGGCGGATAGGAGGCACGGGTCAGCCAAGGAGAGCGGGACAATGAGATCGGGTGGGCAGTGGCACGACGCATGCCCAAATATGGGCATGAGATCACGCCAATCAAAAGGAATGACCGATGGAAAAACACGGACCGCGTGGTGGTACCGTTAGTCGAGGCCCATATATGGGGGCTGAAGGCGGTGATAGAGTCGCTTTCCACGCGGGAAACGAAGGTGAACGGTCAAGTGACGGAGTGAATACGTCAAGGCGAGTGAGACAAGCCGGAACACAAGGCAGGGCCTGAGCGCAGAGTGAGTGTACAGTTAAGAGGAGTTCAGCATTGGCTCG